GTTATCCAGCACCTTAATGCTCACAAGGGTTTGCTGAGATGCAGAATCTGACAAAGTTGCACCTTTGGCCATCCAGCTTCCATGTCACGTAGATACTATGTGTGCTTGCAATTTTACACTTAGCTGTTGGGACTTTCACGATGGAGGTTGGTGGGTGTCCCTTAGCACCAACCACTACTGGTTTCCCGAAGTTGAAATATTGGTGGTATTTTTCTTACACTGGCTCCTCAGATGTCCTTGCTCCCCACAGTTCCAACAGCCTTTCTGGGTAGCAGCCTTTCCTGCTGTACCATCTCCCTTGTGTTGAAGTTTCCAGCATTGAGCTCTCTTGTGCCCCGGTTTATTACAGTGCCAGCAAAGTCCCTCAAACCTATCTGAAAGCTGACCTTTTCTGGCCTTGAATCCAGATGACTGTACCAACCTTGGTACCTCTGTGCTGGACTTAACGTAGGATTCAAATTCGAGAGTTCTGGCCATTGCATCCTGCATGGTAGAGGGATGTGCTTGCTTCACTTGTATCTTAAGTTGGGGACTGTCCAAGGCATCAACGAACTGATCCCTCAGCAACAACTTGAGGAGATCGGGTGGTGCAGTTAGGTAGGCCTTGCATGAACTCTCGTCCTAAGCCTAGCCCTGTAGACTTCTGACTGATTTTGGGTTCCGTACCTGAGTTCTAGAGCCGCTACCAGTGCTCTATAGTTGTGCCTGTCGTCTGCTGACAACTGTCCAAGTATTTCCATTGGTTGTCCTTTCAAGCTTGTCGCCAGATATACTGCTTTTAAATTTAGTAATGTTTTCCATTTGTACTTCTTGTTTCAGTTGCCACTGCTGTAGTCCCTCTTCTTGTTTCTTTTCTTTTTCCTCCAACAACTGCTGTAATTTCTCTTCTTTATTTTCTTTCTCCTCCAATAGGCGTTGTAATCTCTCTTCTTGTTTATTTTCTTTCTCCTCCAATAGCTGTTGTATTCTCTCTTCTTCTTTATTTTCTTTCTCCTCCAATAGCTGTTGTAATCTTTCTTCTTGTTTATTTTGCTGTTAGAGCTGCCACTGTTGTAGGTTTTCTTGCAACTGCTGTAATCTCTCTTCTTGTATCTTTTCTCGTTCTTCTTGTTTCTTTTCTTTTTCCTCTAACAACTGTTGTAATTTCTCTTCTCATTCTTCTTGTTTCTTTTCTCATTCTTCTTGTTTCTTTTGCTGTTCTTGTACTGCTGCCATCAAGTCTGTTAGGCTGTAGTTTGATTTGCCGCTTCTCGTTT